TCTGCAAATAATGACAATTTAACTTCTTCTTTTCCTATTTTACCCCTTTTATTTTTCTCTCTTGTCTAATTGCTCTGGCTAGTACTTCCAGTACTATATTAAATAGGAGTGGTGATAAAGGACATCCTTGTCTTGTGCCTGATTTTAAAGTAAAGGCTTTTAATTTTTGGCCGTTTAGTATGATACTGGCTGTTGGTTTGTCGTAGACGGCCTTTACTATATTGAGGTAAAGACAATCTATTCCAATTTTCTGTAAAGTTCTTATCATGAATGAATGTTGGACCTTATCAAAGGCTTTGTCTGCATCTATGGAAATGATCATGTGATTCTTACTTTTGGCTTTACTGATATGGTGGATTACATTTATTGATTTACCTATGTTGAACCATCCTTGCATTCCTGGGATGAATCCCACTTGGTCATGGTGTATAATCTTCTTGATGATTTGCTGCATCCTATTTGCCAATATTTTATTGAGGATTTTTGCATCTGTATTCATTAGGGAGATTGGTCTGTAGTTCTCTTTTTCGGTTGGGTCTTTCCCAGGTTTTGGTATTAGTGTAATATTTGCTTCCAGGAATGATTTGGGAAGGATTTCTTCCCTTTCAGCTTCATTGAATAGTTTGAGGAGTGTCGGCATTAGGTTTTCTTTGTATTTCTTGTAGAATTCTGCAGTGAATCGGTCTGGGCCTGGGCTCTTCTTTGTAGGCAAGGACTTAATTACATGTTCAAGTTCATTGATAGAGATTGGGTTATTCAGCAGTTTTACATCCTCTTGATCTAGCTTTGGTATTTCATATGTTTCTAAGAATCTGTCTATTTCTTCTGTGTTATCAAACCTTTGAGAGTAGAGGTTTTCAAAATAGGTGTTGATGATCTTCTGTATTTCTATTGGGTCTGTAGTGACTTCACCTTTTTCTTTTCTTATTGCATGGATTTGAGCTCTTTCTTCCCTTTTTAAAATAAGGTTGGCTAGGGGCTTATGGATTTTATTTATTCTTTCAAAGAACCAACTCTTTGTGATTCGTTGATTCTTTGGATTGTTTTCTTAGTCTCTATTGAGTTGATATCTGCTCTGATTTTTATAATTTCCTCTCTTCTTTTGGCTTTGGGCTTGACTTGCTCTTTTTTTTTCTAGCTGTTTCATGTGTAGCATCATGTTTATTTGTATTTGTTCTGTTTTCCTGATGTGGGCACTCAGTGCAATAAATCTTCCTCTGAGGACGGCTTTCATTGCATCCCATAGATTCCGGTAAGTTGTATCTGTATTTTCATTTGTTTGTAGGTATTGCTTACTTTCTTTTTTAATTTCCTCTGTGACCCACTGATTACTCAGGAGTGTGTTATTCAGTTTCCATGTGTTTGTGGGATTTCTGCAGTATCTTTTATCGTTAATCACTAATTTCATGGCGCTATGGTCCGATAGCATGCAAGGGATAATTTCAACTCTTTTGCATTTATTTAAATATGTTCTGTGAGTTAATATATGTTCTATTTTAGAGAATGACCCATGTACTCCTGAGAAGAATGTGTATTCTGTTGTTGTTGGGTGGAATACTCTGTATATGTCTATTAAGTCCATTTGTTCACAGGTGCAATTTAGTTTTTTTATTTCTTTGTTGATTTTCTGTTTGGTTGATCTGTCTATTGGTGTCAATGGTGTGTTAAGATCTCCTGTCAGAATTGTGTTACTGCTGATTTGGTTTTTCATTTCTGTTAGTACTTGTTTTATATAACTGGGTGCTCTGGAGTTTGGTGCATATATATTTAAGATAGTTATCTCTTCCTCTTGGAGTTTTCCCCTAACCAGTATGTAGTGTGACCTTCTATCCTTTCTAATCATTATTGGCTTGAAGTTGACTTTGTCTGCAAACTGAATAGCTACCCCCACTTTTTTGGGGGTTCCTGTTGCATGGAGTGTTGTTTTCCATTCTTTGACTTTGAGTCTGTGAGTATCCTTTTGAGTTAGGTGGGTTTCTTGTACACAGCATATGGTTGGATTTTGTTTCTTGATCCATTCTGCCAGTCTGTTTCTTTTAATTGGTGTATTGAGACTATTTACATTAATAGTAAGAACTGTTATAAATTGGTTTATTGTTGACATTTTATCTTTCTGCTGTTGCATGTTTACCTTTCTGCTCTGTTCAACTGTCAGCTTTGTTTAGTGGTTTTTTCCTAAATGTATCTAGGCTGTCTTTCAGTATTCTTTGCAGGGTTGGCTTGTTGATCATGAAGTTTTTCAGCTGATCTTTGTCATGGAAGTATCTCATTTCTCCGTCAAATTTGAAGGACAGTTTTGCAGGGTACATCAGCCTAGGTTGGAAATCATTTTGCTTTAGGATCTGAAATACATCACTCCATGCTCTTCTTGACTTTATTGTTTGTGCTGAGAAGTCTGCTGTAATTCTGATAGGTTTTCCTTTATAGGTGATCTGTCTTTTCTCTCTGACAGCCTTTAATATTCTATTGTTTTGTTTAATTTCTGAGATGGCCATTATTATATGTCTGGGTGTAGATTTATTTTGGTTGTGACTATTTGGAGATCTATATGCTTCATCGATCTTGATATCAGTTTCCAATCTCATGTTTGGGAAATTTTCAGCTATTACTTCTCTAAATATCCTCTTGACATCCTTTATGTTGTCCCCTTCTTTTTCATTTATCCCTATCAACCTTATGTTGTTTCTCTTTGCATCATCCTGTAGGTGTTGAATTGTTATTTCCTGATGTCTTGTTATTTTTAAAAGATCTTTTCTTTCCTGTTCACTGGCTGCAATCTTGTCTTCGAGGTCTGAGATTCTATCTTCACATTCATTGAGGTGGTTTTTACAACTTTCAATGGAGGTTTTGATTTTCTGTATATCTCTTTGCATCCATTTTATGTATTCTGTTTGTTTCTTATATTGTTTATCCAGGGATTCTATCTTTTTGTTTAGTTCCTCTAATTTTTTAACTGCCTCTTTTTTAGCTATGTTTAGCATCTGCTTCATTTCTCTTATCAATTCTTCTTTCATCTGAGAGAATATTTCTAGTTTGAATTCCTTTAAGGCTTCCCATACTTGCTTCTTTATTTCAGTTACCATTATTTCAGGTATTTCAGTCATGTGGCAAGTGTTTTCTTCTATGCACATGGCTCCTAGGCTTTCTTGGGATGGGCTGGATGTTTGAGATTGCATTTTGGACTTTCATTTTGTCATTTTCCTGTATTTGGGAGCTTCAAGTGTTGTTCCAGGTGTGGGAGAGAGATCCACCAGCCTGAGATGGGGTACCCTGTGATAGCCCCACTCACTGGACCCAGCAGGGAACTATGGCCTGCTCCTCAAGCCAGGAAGAGTGTTTCCTCAGGCTGGGCAGAGCACCCAGCCACTGCTGCCATAGTCTCTGATCTGGCCTGGTCCCCTGTTCCAGTGGGGAACTGGCCTGGGTCCCCAGGTCAGGGAGAAAGTTCCCGCAGGCTGGGTGGAGCTCCCAGCTGCAGCTGCTACAGTCTCTGAACTGGCCTGGTCCCCGGGTCCAGTGGGGAACCCGCCTGGGTTCCCAGGTCAGGGCGAAAGTTCCCGCAGGCTGGGCAGAGCTCCCAGCTGCCACTGTTACCCAGCATAACTTTCTAACAGAGGTCTGATGCTATCATCTTGGTATTCACAATCTTCTATCAGGGACTGTATTCTTTATGGACTTTTCACTATTGGTTGTAGAACCACTCAGTATTTCTCATATTTGACCTATAAAGTTTGGTCTTTGTACTTTCACAGATGCTGTTTCGGAATGACCTACTCTCAGCTTTTAATGTCCAAATCTATCTCGCCTTTACACCCACCACTGTCAGAATTCTTAAACCTCAACTGCAAGAGAAGTACGCCTGTCCACTGATGCATCTCTGTCATTTTTATCTGTCTCCAGCAGTTCCCATGGCATCTGATGTCAACCAGAAGACCTTTGCAGTAGAGAAGCCTCATCTGATGTCTCTCATTCTCCCAGAGTGCCTTGTTCTATAGTGTCTTGCCAGGGCAGGTATCTATCAATTACCAAATGAAAAACTTAGAACATTCATCGACCATTCTGACCTCTAATAAGGACAACAAGAAAAGCCTAAGAATATAAACTTTTGGTTTCCGAACTCTAGGAGCTGACTTCTTATTGTGGAGATCAGGCTAACATAACAATAAAAGGAAACAGTGGCAGATAGACAACAGGATTGTTGAGGACCTACACTATGTACACTGAAAGAAATCAGAAGATTGGGTCTACTTCTATGAGAATAAATTGGATCTTAGTAAGAATAGCTAAAAGTATGTTCTAGGAAGCAATTATCAGAACAAACATGGTAGTTGGAGCAAGTGTGGTTTGTTGACAAGATTATGAATAAACCTTCCATGATATGTAAGGAAAAAAACATGAGGAAAAGGAGACCTAACATCCTGCTGATGTCAGAGCATGGCTTGAGCACCTCATCGGGATCATTCCACTTAATCCTTGTACAGTTGATGGTATCGCTGCCAATTTTATAAGCAAGGAGGCTGAGATTTGAGAGGATTAAATAATTGGTCAAGGTTATGCAGGATTAGGTGGCAGAGCTAGGATCTGAAAAAGGCAGCTGGCTTCCACCACATCATGATGTCTCCTTGCAAGCAAAAGAAAAGTGCCACAGGGTATTTTGTTGTTGTTGCTGTATTTTTTTTTTTTCAGGAAAGGGGACTTGCTGTATTTATGAACAGTTCAAGTTGAAAACCCCTAAGTCCAATGTACAATATATACATGGTAGCTGACTCTGAATGCAAGTTTGTCTGCCTAGAGAGAGTGAAGCAGAAAGGCTCATGCCAGAGGAGTGCTCTGGGGAGAAACGCTAAGGGGAGCCACCACAGAACTGGGCAGTGTCGCCAGATTGAAAAGAAGCACAAAGAAGGGAAACAGAGACAAAAGTTACAAAGGAAGATAGATAATCCAACTGAACACAGCTTTGTAAGATGTGATGGATGAGAGAAATGATGAAGGAAACATACTTGGTCTCATTGGCACATCGGATCTTGCAGCCATCTTGGGGTATCACCAAGCCCAGATGCATTCGGAGCCTGCAGTTGGTGGGTCCTGTGTGTGGCCACACGTGAGTTCCAGGGTGCATGACGGAATATTTGATCTGTACAGAAAACATGATACTCAATCAGATACTCAATCAGCCTCTGAGCAAGGTGTGGAGGGATTGCTAAATTAAAACGACAGTACCAAATTACTGTCAGCTGGGATTAGAGCCTTTGTGAGACTCAGGGTTTATATATAGATATTATTTTTTGTGAAAGGACTAAAAATAAGCACTCAAGTTGTACACAATTGAATACCGAATATTTTGTATCCTGGATTCTGACACCACATGAAATTATATTTCATTGAAAAGAGTAAAAAAAAAAAATAAAGCATTTATTGGGACAAATGAAATGATCATGTATTCGTAAACGTCAGCTCTTCCTCATTCCCAACAAATGTGTCCTCCTTGGTTCTGAAAACACTTGGTACCTGTCCTCTTCTACATCCTGTTGTCTCAGGGAACTTTTCTAGTAAAGTGCAAGTTTTAGGAGCTCCTTTACAGGCATTTTCATTTTTTCTTCCTAGAACAATAAATGACAAAAACTATTGTTAGAAATAAGTCTCAAGTTGGGCACTATGACATATAACTATAATACAGCTACCACAAGGACTGATTCAAGATCACAGGAGCCCAGGAATTTGAGACCAGCTTGAGAAACAGAGCAACAAAGTAAAATTCCATCTTGAAACAAACAAGTAAATCAATCCAGTTAGGTTTACCTTATCCCATTTGGACCACATGTACAGTTTTTCTTACTGTAGGAATAAAAAGCATAGATGAACACAAAAAGACAGTGTCTTCCTTTAATAGACAGTGGCTGGCAGAGCAAAGACATGAATTCTCTATTGGTGTTGGATTATTAAACTAAGGATATCTAATGGACAAGGTACATGTTGAATACATACTGTGGAAAAATGGTCTTTCTCAAAGATGTTTACATGCTAATGCAGGATATTGTGAATATGTTACATTACGTAGCAAGGAGAAATTAAGACGAGATGACACTGATATTTCTAGGGAACTGAACTTAAAATGAGGAGATTATTTTTCTTAATTCCATGGGATCAGTGTAATCACAGGGTCCCCAGATGTAGCAAAAGGAGGAAGAAGACTCAGATTGGTACAGAGTAAGAAGAACTTACTAACCATTGCTGGCTTTGAAAGTGGAAGAGTGGCATAAACCAAGGAACATGAAGAGTACGGCCTCTAAAATGATAGCACTTTGATTTTAGCCCGGTAAGGCCCATTATAGACTTTTGACTTCTAGAACTTTAAAAATAATAAAAGTGCATATATTTACACTTTGGTAGTCATGGCAAACTAATAATCTCCTAAAAAAGGAAAATTCCTTATATTATATGTCTAACTAAAATGTATTTCTGGGATTATATCAAAGGGTTACAAAAACTATTTTTAGTTGGAATTTAATGCCTTTTCAATGTACAGATCATCCTTTAAGTGTTAATAGAGAGTGACATTTAAATGAAGAGGACAAACAGGTTTTAGATAATGCTTTCTCTGAGTAATTCTACTGGGAATATAGACTCTGGAACATAGACTTAAGCAACCTGGATGATGCAAATTTCTTCACACTCTATAAAACTGCCATTTATTGTGAAGTATGTGCCTAGAATGTATGCCACATCATATGTTCTCATGGATAAGTAAATAAATGGACTCTCTAAAAGATAGAAACATTTTTAATTTCCTACTTAAAACTCTCACAAAGGACTGCTACATCTAAAGCTGAGTTTAATTTCATAAATGTAACTTGTTACTAAGGTAATCATACACTGAGAATAAAATGAGACTTACAAGAAGTGAATTTAAAGGTATGTGCTCTAATCAAGTAGACCTCAGTATGTTGGAAAAACCATAAATCCACATTTGCCTTTATTAAGTAATCTCTTTGCCTTTTAATTTCATAAAGTATTAGTTACTATTTTTAGTGTTGATGGAATTTTTTGAATGAACTGAATTACAAATATCAGTTTGAACAAATATTATATAAGTGTAGAAGCAGTCATGAAGCATTTAAAATCCTAGCCTTCCAGATCTTCCCATGTGCAGGGCCATGGGACACCTTGGCAAGAGTCCATAATTATGGATTTTGTACTACTAGGAAGTAACTGAGTGAAGCTTGGTCGCTTAAAAAGCAACCAGAGCCTGCTAGACATCCCACAACCCCAGTGCTAAGGACTGATCAGTGCTACTAGAACAGGTATCTTACCAGAATGACAGGTAAAAGACAAATAGATTGTTGCTAGGATTTCTACTTGTTCAGAGTTTTCAATACACTAGCAAGTACCCCAGACCCTTCAGACATACACAGGTCGAGCATCTGTAATTTAACAGTCCAAAATCCAAAATTTGCTAACTGACAATATGATGCTCAAAAAGTTAAATTTTGGATCACATTTTTGGATCACTGATGCTGAACTGGTAAAGTCTGTGCAAATGTTCCAAAATATGAAAAAAAAAATCTGAAACACTTATGGTCTCAAGCACTTCAGATAATAAATACTCGACATATGTTTTCTTTTTAATCTGAAAGCATGGATTTTGTCTATGGAAAGGGCTGTGTAGCAAACATTCACGTATAGCCCACAGGTAGTTTTAAGTATTCATACATGGTCAGAGAGGGTTCAAGCAATGCACTAACACTTTCCCAATGCTTACTATGTGCCTGAAGCAGCTCTGCATACTTAGCGTGACACATCTAATGTCACAACACCCACTCATTGTATTTTACAGAAGAGACACTGACATACCAACAAATGTCAGAAGAGAGAACTGGGAATTTTTTTTTTTTTTTTTTTTTTTTTTTTTTTTTTGTACTGGGGATCAAACTCATGATTGTGCCACTGAGCTAAAACCCCAGACTGAGAACTGGGAATTTCAATCCAGCCAGGCTGGACCGAGGATCCACATTTTTAGCCAAGACATAGGCACACTTTTACATTATTGTTACAATCACTTAATGTGCTACTGTTATATAACAACAAAGTAGTAGCTCTGTCATGTCTTAGAAAACTGTCAGATCTTCCACTGAGTGTTCACTGACTCTAGTAAGAATGCTGCACTTAAGAGTCTATGCAATATATGTTACCTGTCCCAAATAAATAACCTAATGATGCATTTCAAGGTGCTAGAGAAACAAGAAAAATACCAATCTAAAACTGTAGAAAAAGTTATGAAGATCAGAGGGGAAATTAAGGAAATTTGAACTAAAAGAACAATAAAAGGATCAATGAATCAGAGTTGGTTCTCCAAAGGGATGTGAAAGGGATCTGGGAATAGGAGGTGGGAGAAAGAAGAGGGAAAGGGGGAGTATAAAGGATCAAGATGGGGTACATATATGTACCAGTTTCCCCGTGATGAATGTATTTACTGTGCATTGCAAACATGTACTAATGAAATAGGGAAGACATTATGTTTTACACTATTGATTTGTTTATAAAAATAGTTATTCAATCCTTTCTAGAAGCCTGTATCCACAAATGGAAGGCCACAGACAACTTTAATGTCTTCCTAAGAGGGAAACTATGTGAATTATAGTATTTATTTATTTATTTACTTATTTATTTTTTGAGGCAGGGTCTCACTGTGCAATTCAGACTGGCTTATGGTTTTTAATAGCAATAATATAAAACTAGAAGTTTATTATTATAATTTTGGCATTGGGGATTGAACCCAGAACATTGGTTTTTAAATTTTGAGATGTGAGCTTTCCAAATTGCTAAACTGCTCAGGGTGAGCTCAGATTTGTGCTCCTTTTGCCTTAGCCTTTCAGAATCCTAGGATTACAGGCCTATACCACAAACTAAAAGTTAAGTATTTAAAGACACACCGGCTGCAACAGATTGGGAAACATGTTCATAACACACACACACACACACACACACACACACACACCACCACCACCACCACCACCACCACCACCACCACCAATCTTTAAATTATTTAGAGTTAAAATAGAAGTCAGGACAGAAATGCAGTCTATTTTTGACAATATTTCAGTAAAAATAACATACATTATGGTTTATGGAATGGATCTAAAGCTGTATCTACAGGTCAGATTATAACCTTCATTGTTTATATTGACTGAGAAGAAACAATAAATATAAATGTATTAAAGAGTTCCAATCAAAATGTTTAGAAGAACTAAAAAAAGTTTAATCAAAAGTATGAGGAAGAAAAAATAAATGCAAGAAGTAGAAAATATATCCATAAAAACATGTGAAGCAGTTTTATGGTTTTTTTTAAAGCAAAATAGAACTTTGTTAAAGTCAAGAAAGAAAGTAAAAAACAACATAAGAAATTACCCTAAATAATTCATAAAAATCAAGTATAATCAAATAAGTGAAAATTTGTTCTAGCGTTGCCTCCAAACAATTTATAATCTCTAGTTTTATTTCCTTTTTTGCTTAGTATTTTTCATATCCTATAAATCTTTGCACATTTCAACTTTATCAAAGCACTTATGTTCAGCAGAGACTATAGTTTTGGGAAGTTACTGCTAGGATGCATGCTATTCTGAAGCACTGCTCTAGGAATCTAAAACATAAAGGATACTAATGGAATTAAAGTACCAGATAAATGCATACATGACAGACCAACTCATCTTTGTGATGTACCAAATGGAAATGTGCATTTAGCCCATATAAGGATGGTACAGTTTCCTTAAAACAAATCTTGTTGGAAAAAATTGACAATCACTTGAAATCATGTGATCCCTTTCCTGATGGATACATTCTTGAAAATATTACTGAACTTACTCACTTTCTTCTTACATAGTAGCACTCCAAACCCAAAACTGAGACAAAACTTTGTCTTTATTTGTCTAATATGTAAACCAATTGCTCATTGTACCCTGACATTTAAAGGTTCTTCTTTTCAAAGTAATACATTAATTCACTAAACACATATACTGGAGCTCCAACTATGTGCAGGGTGCATGACGCTAAAAAATATAAGTTGGATACCAACCACTTACTTCTAACATGCTCAGTAGTTTGTCTTGTCAGTCTGGTATGTCAACCATTTCTAACATCTCTTATTCATGGCCATATCATTTTGCCTTGTAGCATCAACTATATTTTATAGATGCAAATGAAGATCAGGGATGCTTTTACTAAGCCACTGGTAAATATGTGGTGGACTTTTTAGTTATCCTACATAGTAGTTTTACTGCCAATAATGTACTATTCACATTCAAATGATCAGGAAAAATAAAAATATTGCTTATACATTTATGGAAACATGCATTATATAATATAAATATACCTCCATATATGCACATACACACACAAATAGCTCAGATGTATTTTTTAAAACAATGAATGCATTTAAGAAGTCTAGGTTTAGGGGCAGGCACTTCTAAGTTCAGGAATCCCAGCTTTGGGAACATCACAGAAGACTCATGTCACTTGTCTTCAGGCCACTGGCTGCAAAGAACAATCTAGAAGTCAGGAGCTCACCTTGTTGCCATAGTGTAAACTGGCTCCAATCACCTTTCTCCCTCAGGTTTTCATCTTCAGGCAGGAAAAGACCTTTGGCTTTATCCATCACTGCAAGACCTTCATCACGAATTAGCTTCCAGTTTCTTTCTAAAAACTAGGAGGAAGAAGGTCTGACTTCACTGGACTGAAAATATGTCTGGGAGAACATCTTACAATGACTTTCAGCTTTTTATTTGTTAGCTTGCTTAATAAATTAATGAAATGTTTCCTCTTATCTAGATTATATATTTCAGTTTTCTTAGATTTTTTTTTGCCTTTCAGTAGAGCTCCTTACAAATATGCCAATGAACAGTATAAACATTAAACTTAAAGGATATAAAAATGTACCAGTTGATGTATTATAAAATTAACATCAAAACATAACAAATAAGTGTCCTAGTGCTTAGAATTCACACAAACAAAAACATACTTCCTTGATTGCTTGCTTATGATGTTGCCTTAGTCCCAGCCAGGGTTTATGACTGGCAGAGCCAAGGAGTGACCAGGTGGTACCAAAGATCCCTTGGAAAATCTCCTTCTATCTGACCAACATATTTTGTTGTCAGTCAGAGGCAGGTGATAATCAGGTGGGGCCAAAGTCGGCAAAAATGCAGGGATGACGTCCAGAAGTGAAATGAACTGATGCCAGAACAAAACAAAACAGCTTTCCCACAGTAGGAAAAGGTCGTACGTTGAACTGGGAATTTTGTAGCGTCAATTACTCCAATTATTTCTACATTAGATAAAATGTGCATGAAATAATTGAGTATATGGATGTGAAGATAGGCAGGAAGACATCTGCTGATTTCAGCAAGAATCAGGGGCCAGACATGTTACTGTAAGTGGCTGAGAGCAGGAAACCAGAAATAACAAGTACAGTGAGTAAAATTCTACTGTGGAATATGAAAATAATGAACACTTCTGAAAATAAATAGCATTGTTTATAAAACATCATTCTTTAGTTTTTTAATTACTCAGCCAAGGTGAACTATTATTGGGTAAAGCAAAGCATGAGATAGTGTGCAAAGTGTTTTCATCAACCCATGTTTTATAAATTCATGATTCAGTATCGGAAAAAAAAGGTAAGTCAGGATGACTGCATGGGGAGGGCTTCAAAAACTTATCCTCAGATATGTGTGAAGATGCAATGCCAGCCTCAGCCAGTGTTGTCTTGCCCAAAGCTACCTCTGTGTGTCTCTAAAGACAGGTGTAAAAGCTTCTTCACCCCAGGTGCCTGTAATGTGATGAAGAAACAGACTGTAACTACTATTGGAGCAGGTAAATGTCTCAGCCAATCACTGGTGGCCAACTCTATGTTCAAATAAGACAGACCCAAGTTCTAACCAATAAAGCTGTCTCTACTTCCATCTTCTGCATGTAATTTTTTTGTCTCTTGCTATAAATATGTGCTAGAGGCACATGATTTTGAGTCATTATAAATGCAGGCTGCAGTCTGATTCTGGAATCACAAATAAAGCCAATTAAGATCTGTAAAACTGTGTTTGCTCTAATTTTGTCTTTTAGCATCAGGCAACACTTTTTAGATCAGATGAAAACATGAGGGTTGTTAAAGTATGGTAGGGCAAAAGACTGATTGGTGATTGATTTTAAAATTCTATTTCTGTGAATTTCACCCTTTAATTTATGTCAACATCTACAAGTTCTCCTACCACTGCTTCCTTGGAGCGGTGCTGATCATTTCTCTGCCTTCAGCACTCAATCCACTAACTCGTTTCCATATTGTATTTTCCATCCCAAGTAGCAGTTTGTAATTAGCAAGTTAAGGGTTGTATTTCAAGAAAGAGATACTCAAAAGTCCTCCTGTGGCAGGTCCCCAGACTGAGAGAACTCAATGGTGCTGTTAAGAACATCAAAAACATGGCAAGCCAAACAAGGGTACCCCAGGATTCTGAGGTATGTTTACATCTTCTCAAATGTACCTCAACTGCCATCACTCACTCCTGTCACTGTAATTTGTTCAAGTTGTTAGATAAATCTGTTATACCCTTGTTAAACTGTCACACAGACAAGGAGAAAATTACCTGTCTAACACAGGACATTTCTTTCCAAATGAGGTTACTGGCACCTCATAAGGGCAGCTCTTACTCCTAGTATTACAGAAGTTTCTTTTCTTTCTTTTGAAAGCTGAATTTAGTAGCACAGTTAAAAATAGCTGATTTTTTGTTAATAAATAGGTCATAAAACGCAAGGGGAAATGTTGAAGTGATTGTATCATTCAACACAATTTATTTTTTCCTTAAGAACAAGCTATCTTTTAATGTGAAATGCCATTCCTGCCTCTCTCTCTTTCTGGGGGCCTGGATGGAAGAAAAGGTGAGAGAAGGAGGAAGTCTGCATACCCTGAACTACTAGTAAGGGCATTTTTGCTGCTGCTGTGGACCATGCACAACAGATTCTAGCCTTTCAATGTGGATCTGTGCCAGTAACTCTCCAGGAAGGCTCCACCCTTGGCATGGAGGCTATCTTACACTACCACAGCAGATTTCTAATTTTCTTTCATTATATAGTCTGCATTATTTTTTTTTTCTTTTGAGTTCAACACTTTATCACTGAATGTCACAGTTAGAAGGATCTGTACTGTGCATCTGGGAGCAATTTTGCCCTTAGGGGTGATGAAATAAACTCTGGACTGGTTAATGAGCCTAAGAACTCACTATCTAATGGTCAAGAGAGGCAGTGCCAGAAACCTACTGTGTTTCTCCCCATCATTCCTCCGGCACCTGAGGGAAGACATGAAGTCACAGTCAGGCACAAGGATTGCACTGTGGTAGCCTCTGGGGCCCTTATTCTCCTGTGGAGCAAAAGAGCAGCTGAAGAATCTCTCAGCCTCTGATGTACAGTAGGTCCCCTATGAACGAATTCTATTCCAGGAGAATGTGTGTAAATTGAATTCATTAGCAAGTCTAGTGAAGTGAGTCTTACACACCTTTGAAACAAATATACAACATACATTGCTTTGGGATTCCTAGCAGTCTCTTCCATATCACCACTGCTTTTCCTCTTGCTTTGAGATATCCCAGGATCTGAGCGCCATAGTACTGCCCACTATTGCACTGTACAGCAAGCACACACAGCATAGCTGTGACAATGTCTGGCAGACATGTGAGCTACCTCCTCAATTTGTTCACATCTGGCAATGTTCATAATGGGAAGTTGGTTCCAATCTGTGAAAGTCTGTGACTCAAATGTTCCTAAGTCTGGCTCTTTCTGTACAGTGGGTTACTGAGTATCTGTCAGTTCAGGTACCCATCAAGAGCAGACACTTTCAAGATGCATGAACAGTCATACATTTCCCACTCAGGACTGGGCAGAGGCACAACTCAAAGAAAATTCACAAGTGGGGTAATCTCAGTGAACCAAAAGACAGCATCAGTTGAATTCACATACATAAAGAAAAATAGCAACAGTAAGGATCTACTAATAGTTCAATGTAAATGCTTTTTAAAAAATTCAGATTGAACCCAGGAGCTTTGCACTGAGATATATTCTCAGCCTTTTTGAGACAATCATTTGTGCCAAGTCACTAAGTTGTCTGTGCTGGATTGAAAATTAAAGTCCTCCTGCCTCAACCTCTCAGCCTGGTTGTAAACAGTTTTTTGGCCAAAGTAATGATCTTACTAGGGATTTTTTCTTTCTTTAGGGAAAAATATAAAATGGGACTTGGGAATGTTTTTAACTAAGAAAACAGGTTTTATGAAACTCATGGTTATTAGAGATTAAAGACATAACCTAATTGCCCAGTATCACATGTATCTTTTTTTATTTGCGCTGTTACAAGATAATATTATGGCCTGAAGGCTTGTAAACAATAGAAATATATATATTTTTTTCAGTTTTGGGAGCAGAAAGTCTAAGATCAAGGAGTTGGCAGATTATGTGTCTGGTGAAGTCCTGCTTTCTGATCAGATAGCATATGGTGTAGTCAGGGATTTCAAGGACAGTGATTTCATACAAGACACATAATTTATAGTATTATTTATAATGATCACCCCAAGAGTCAAATACAAGAAGTGCAGGAAATCTGTCCACACACTAAAGATCTAGAGAATTAAACTGAGGGTCTCGATCCCATGCCAATATCCTACAAGAGCCAGCTGAAGACCTAGAGCTCACGGCAGTGCCTCTCAAAAGTCCATCTCGAGGCCTAGTGCTCACGACAATGACTCATGCAAGTGTATTTCATGGATCTGCACTGGAGAGGCCCACATCTCAGTGGTGGAAGTTGGAAAGTCTGTAGCAGGATGATTGACCTGTGCCAGTAAGCTGATGGTTCTGTGGCAGAACCAGGAAGCAATGTTCAAAGAACCAGGGCTCTTCCAAAAACTACCACAGCCATCCTCAGCAACCATGAGGTCCAGAGTTCCTCTGATGATGAGAACAGCTGAGCTCATATCAGGAAGCCAGCATGACAAGCTTTTCATGGAGACTGAATAGCACACATCTTGCCCTCTAGAGCCAGGAAATGATGCTTAAAGTAAGGACAAGAGCTCCCCCAACATGAACCACAGCTATTCTCAACCACAAGGTCCAAATTCCTCTGATGGTAATAGCCAAGTTCGTATTAGGGAAGCCAGTATGACAAACTTCTCCCAGGAGAACCAACAGCTCCCAAGCAACAGAACATAGGAAAACCCAAGTCTCATCTTTGTGCTGGAACCGTCCTGTGGTGCACCATCTACACTCAGCACCATGCTGATTCAATTCAGCTGGTGTTTCAGTTGATCATCAGTTTTCAGTCCACAACACATCTTCTCATTCCAACCTCTCACACTAGAAGAGGGTATAACAGCAAGGTATGGCCTCATCCACAGGACTTCACCCTTATGATCCAATCTCCTCCCAAAAGTCTTTCCTCCAGTACCATCACCTTGGGCTCAATGGTTCAACACAGGAATTTGAGGGGAACAGAAATATTCAGAGCACATTAGTGGAGTGGAAAGGGACAGAGGGGGAAATATGAGCTTTCTCTAAAGTAATATTGCTCAGTTAGTAATCTGAGTTGGTAGAATGCAATATTTAGTTTTGAAATTCCAACAGGAACTTAAATACTTACAGAAAGCAAAAAAAAAAAAAAAAAAGCTTACACATTTTTAA